CCCTCAGCAGTGTACTTAGTCTATCTGCCTGTTCTGCTCCCCACTCTGTCTCTGGTGAAGCCTCTCGCTGCCCCTGAGCCTCTGGCCTGCACCCCAGTTCTGTATGCACAAATAAATAAATCTTTAAAAAAAAGAGATACACCCAAGTTTGACAATGAAAAATTATATTCATATACCTAGTGCATGCATTGCTTAATATAAAACCACAATCAAGAAGGATGCAAAAATGAGTAGCTCCACTAGAAAGCACAATTTAACTTGGTTACTGCTATTTGTTTCATACCATAAGAAAGTTAATAAGGGAGAAAGTAAATTGGATGCTGTCATGTCAATACTGATTAGCATTTATTAGATTGTATTATGCTAATGGTATCAGAGAGATAATAAAAAGACTTTTTGATGAATGGCCATGTTCTTCACATCTGTGAACCAGATTGCAGAAAACTGATTTTGTTCAAAATAATGGTGACTTTCCGCCTCCCAATAAACAAATACTTCTGGCAGGTGTGGGTGTTGCCATACAAAATTGAACTTCTTCCCACTTTCCTCTGCACCACAAGATTTTAATACCCAAGCCACAGAAAGAAATTGAATCCAACTGAGAATTCTGTTTCTCAAGAGTCTTTGTGCTAATCATTTTGAAACTAGATGTGAGAAATAGTTCTAAGGAACAAAGTACTTAGAAAGAGCCCTGCCATCTAGTTCTGTGACTTATTAAAGTGGGCAATCAGCTACAGCAGTGCTTTTCTTAATGAGATGCCAAGACTAAAAAGGACAATTTTGCCACCAGGCCCTCACGGCTATTCCTCTCTCATACTCACTCTACTTTATGAAATATTCCTGTTCCACAGCCATGCACTTCTTAATGATTAATATGTCATTCACCTATTCCTAGTGGTTTAGCTTCTCATGTACTAGGTCACTGACCTTTTTAATTTTAAAATTCCTGGAAAATTCTTCTTCCAATAACACAGAAGGGCACATGCTTCTCACAGTCAGTGCAACAATTCAAAAGGAAAAACATCCTAACACACTGTTCTTCCCTCATTTATCCCACCCACCTACTCTTGGAGCCTCCATTTTCACAGTCAGTATGCCTTTCTCCATACATAGGAAGGGTATTTTTAAAAGAATAGGAATATTAGCTTCTTATCTTTCTTTTTTTATTTATTAAAGATTTATTTATTTTGCATACAAGAACTGGGGTACAGGTCAGAAGTGCGGGGAGGTGAGAGGATTCACAGGGAGAGTGGGAATCAGAACAGGCAGATCGACTGAAATACACTGCTCAGGGGAGCTGCAGGTGGGAGAGGAGAGATCTGCTGCGCCATGTGGGTCACCTCCATGGCCAGGGATCGAACTCATGCTATAGTGGCTGGTGGTAGCTTCATAGTGCTGTGTCTTAACCCCTCGCACCACCAGGGAAATAAGCCTCTTTTCTTTTTTGAAATACATAGTACAGATTCATCCAGATCAATGCTTGCTGTTTACATAATAGCCATTCTCTCCTGCTTCCCTACAAACAGAATCCTGATTTTATTCAGTCTTAATTTTCTATATTAAATGAACAAAAATATGATAAGGTAGTCAGCCTGCCCCCAGTTCCAAGAAACCATCGATTATCCCCATTCTTGTTCAACTTTTTGTTTCTACACAATTTTTATTAAAGTATAATATTAAAACAAAAGTATATAAACACCAACATGGGATTATCATTAAGCAATTTACCTATATAAACATCATCCAAATTAAAACACAAAATATTACCTGCTTTAGACTTGCTGAATTTTTGAATATTATATGGATTGAAAAATGCAGTAAATGTTCTTATGTATCTTGATTCTATTATTCAAATTGTGTCTGTGAGAGTCATCCTGGTAGTTACATGTAGTGTAATATTCCAGTGTATTTATGTTCACTTTATTATCATACTTATTACTAATAGAAATTTGCTTATTTCCATTTTTGGAAATAATGTCTGATAAGTATTCTTTTTTTTTTTTCAGGTAAACATCCCTGCCCATGTTTTCTTTGGCTACCCATATTTATGCATTCTTATTGAGATATACCTAAGATCAAAATTGTTTAATTCATAAGGCAGGTTTATGTTCATCTTTGTAGATATTTCCAGTTTACCAAAGTATTTGCACCAACTTATACTCCCAACATTACTATGTAAAACCCGCAGTCACTCCACATTCTAACACTTGTTATAGTATTTTTTTCTGTTTCTCTGTTGACTAATGCTACTAAGTCATTTTTATATACTATCGCTCACAGGTTTTATGATGTACTTGTTCAGGATTTTTTGTAAGTTTTCTGTTCCTTTTGATTTGTATGAATAGTTCACATCTTTAAAGACAACCTTTTGTCAAATATATGTATCATGTATATATTCTTCTACTCTGTGTTACATTTTTACATAAAAAATCTTAATCTTAATGAAATTCAGTTCAAAGTCTTTTCCTTGATAGGTAGTATATTTGCACCCTGTTTAAGGATCTTGAGAAGATTTCTCTAGGGTCTATTTCAGCGGCTTTTGCCCCTTTATTTTAATTTTTATTCAGATGTACAATCTAACTGGGATTGGTTTCCCTAATTGCTGAGATGAAAGTCACAGTTCATTTCTCTCTATAAAGATATCTAGTTGGCCCAGAACCCTCATTTCCACTGGATTGTCAACCTGACCCCTGCCTATGTGTGAGTCTGTATTGCTCTTCTTGTTCTTCCATTCGTTTATTTGTATCTACTAATGTGTTACTTTATCATTAAAAGCAATTTAGCTTTCTATAGAACTGAGGCATTCAGAGAGGGGAGGTTGTAGGGAAAGCCAAGCACAGAGCTTGGAGGGAGCACAATGTGACTGTGAGTGCTTTGGTGGTAGGTGCAATATAATAACATCACTGGAAGGGGTGGTCCTATATCTTCAGAATACGAACAGTGATGTAAACTATTGTTACCTCATTAAGTTTGTTTTACATAAATAAATTTTTAAAATTAGCCTTCAAATAATTTTGATATGTGGTGGTTAATACTTCAACCTTATTTCTTCTTGAAGAAGCTAACTCTGAAGATGCATTTATCAGAGATTAAACCATAAGATAAAAAAAAAGAGAAAGAGAATATAAGATAGCGACATATTTGTTGAACTATCTGAGGATAAGTTACATACAGGACATTGGCCCAGTTTGGGGAAAATGAAACAAGTTAGAAAGTTGGTAAGTAAATCCAACCTGGAAAGAAGAGTCTAAGGTACCACAATGCTACCCTAAGGAACATCAACATTCAAGGGAATAGACAGAGAAGGAGAAAGAAGAGGAGGAAAAGAAGGGATGGAAAGGTGAGAGAAAGCACATACACATTTGAGGTAGAAGTCACAAGTGCTAAGGGAAAGGAAATTTCAGAGCAGACATTCAGTGCAAATGTAATTTTGCCTGAAGGCTGAAAAGTGTCCTCTGCTTTTAGCAATAAGTAGTCAAGTGATGACTTTAGTGGGTGTTTGCTGGGGTGGCAGAAACCAATTAGAATAAGTGAAAGAGAAAACAGGCATAAGAGACAAGGTGGGCATTAACAACACCCTTTTAAATAACTTTTAAGAAAGGAAACAGCAATTAGAGCAGGTAAGAAAGGGTTGCTTGTCAATAGATCAATAAACTTTTTTTTTTTAAAGATTCATTCATTTATTTGTGCATACAGAACTGGGGTACAGGCCAGAGGCTCAGGGGCGGTGAGAGGCTTCACCAGAGACAGAGTGGGGAGCAGAACAGGAAGATCGACGAAGTACACTGCTGAAGGAAGCAGCGGGCTGGTCAGGAGAGGTCTGGCTCGCCACGTGGTCTCCTCCGGGGCAGGAGGCAGGCGGGGATCGAACTCATGCGGAAGTGGCTTCAGATTCTCAGTGCTGTGCTTTAAACCGCTGCGCCACCAGGGAGGGCCAGATCAATAAACATTTTATGCTGAGGGGACCCTGCAGTAGCACAGAAGTTCTAGAGAAATGATCATCAGTGGAATGATATCTAGGGCAAGATCTTTCTGCTGAGACAGGAAGAGGCCAATAATTGCAGTGGTAGAGTCTACAGAAAGGCAGAAGGCAGGGTCTTGAAGCCCTTTTCTGTTTTTTCTAAGGCTAGGGGAGGACTTTTGTGTGGTGGAGTGTGTGGAGTGGCATTAACCTCAATTGTGTCACCAAGCTTCTCAACCTCCAGATAGGGGAGAAAAGTGGTGTTGACTAAAAATTAGAGTTTTGCCAGGTAGCTATGGGAGAAAAGATGGGCAAGGGAATTGAGGGTTTTGAAAAAAGAAATTGAATTCTTTGTGTTTTTGCTAAACACAGTTTACAACTTAGTCCTATTCAATTTCTTCAGTCTCTATGGGAAGAAGCTAAAGAACTTGTCCAAAGTCACAATTAAGTTTATTGCCAGCAGTGGTATCCAAAATTCAGAATTTGTAATCCTATGTCCTTTCCATGGCGTCAGCTGGAGTTTCTGTCCCTCTGTCTGCTTTTTGCCCTTGTGCACTAACTTCCTGGGTGGATCACTGGAAAGCAAACACCAACTAACTGGGATAAGGCAAGTGTTTGCCTCTGACCTTGCTTTTGACCGTTACTGAGTAACTGGTTGCTTCATCCAGATATGAGTTGCTTGATTTACCTATTGGGACTTAGAAAACGTTTCTCTTTCTGCTGCTTTACACAGACATTGGGAATCACCATACTTGTACAATAGAAAAGAAAACTTAAGAAAAGACTAGGCTAGCAGTTGAATTGTGCACTGTAGGGAACTATTAAAATTTTTTTCTAGTTTTTTAGTTACCATATAGCCTTTTCTGATGCCAGTTCCTTTCATCCCACTTTGAACAATTTCCTTTGATTGTATTGCCTTCTTTGTTAAGAGAAAAATAGTCATTAATAAGATCATGGCCTTTGTGAAATAGCAAGAGACAAACTCCTTGCTGCTACTGTCACAGAAATTCTAATCACCATCTTTTTGATGGACATGCCAAAAAATGTAACACCATGCCCATGATTCAACCTTTTTTTTTTTTAATTGAATGACATCTCATTTGCTCTCAAGAGTTATTAGGTTACTTCTGAAAAATAAAAGAACCTGCTGCTGATTGGATTATACTTACACATGGAGAAATATATTTCAAGTACTTAACTATAATTATATGTCATACAAATTATCACAATTGCTAGCAAATCATTCCTAGTACACAAAATGAAAGATATCATTAAGGTTACAGATCCCCAAATAACATGAAGTAACAATACAATTAAAGAACCCTATAAAAATTCTGTTAAAATGACCATAAGTACAAGAATGACAAAAGTGTTTAAAATGGATTACCATTTTTTTGTTGCTGGACATCATCATCTTATTCAGGGTCAGAGTCACTAAAATTACCAAATAAAATAAACGATCCTCGTTTAAATTTGAATTTCAGATAACAACAGACAGCAAAGAACTTTCAGAGTAAGTGTGCATACTTGCATACAAATGTATTCATTATTACCTGAAATTCAAATTTCCCAGAGCCATCCTGTATTTTATTCTGGCAGCCCTACTCAGGATCCCCTTAACTGGAGCCTGGCATAAACATGACCTCCACTTACCAGCGAGGTTGCGTCTCTGATGCCACTTCTCAGGCGTCTCTCCTGCTCTGTCGTTGTGTGTCTGGACTCCTGTGAAATAATCCTTGAGCCAGTGACTGCTCCACAGGCTGAAGAGAAGGTGAGGAGTTCTGTAGTTTTCATAGAATAGGTATAGCTGGAGGACTCAGGTGCTGGATGACAGAAAGCAGAAACACAATTGTGAGGGAAGAAAATCTAGGACCTTCACAGTGGGTCACAAAATCTAGCACACTGTGATGTCTCCAAAGTGAATCCTTTTAATAATTCCTGATGAAACTCTCCTGTCAAGTCAGTAAGTGGGGCTTTTATTCTGAATGTACTTCTCAGTGATGCTAAAGCATGCATATTAAAGACATTTCCTGAAACTTCTCCCATTCCCTTCCATGTATTTATTTTACTTTCCTAGAGTAGAATACAACATTTTTAGAGCTTTATTTCTGTGGTTTTTGGGGAGCGTGGGAGGGGAACATCATATTGATCAGGATATTGGAAAGCAAGTGGCAGAATAGGAGTGAAATTTTCCTCAAACTTTAATGTTTGTGGGCAGTATGCTGGGAAATGAGAGTGGACAGTGGGGTGGTGACTTTCTACAGGAGCCTTACTTTGACACTAGCCCCATCTTCAGTAACACCCTGATATCCAGTCTTCTTACTCTTTACTGATTGATTATACACACCTAGAATATGATTTTCCCCATTATGAAGTCTTAGAAGTGGATGTATATGTATATTCATACACACACCTGATAACTGATTAAGAATAAATACAATGTATGTTCATTCAGAAAAATTGGCTAATTCAAATAAATATAAAAAGGAAGTCATTGTCCATGATTCAGAAATGACTTACGATTTTAGCATGTCCATTGGTTTTTATGCCAATTTATTTATATATTTATGAAATTGCATTTTCTCATTAATATCAAATTATGATCATTTCTTACCATCAGAATGGTCATTATTGTGGTAAAGCCATTTAGCTTTCAAATCATGGTTTCTCCAGTTCTAAACACCAGCTAGCCAATCTGACAGTGTTTTTCTAGGGGACCCAATGAAACACATATATGAATGTTAATTTAATGGTACTGTATAAAAAAAATCATAATTACTGCCTCAACTAAAACAACTGAAATAAATATTTGGTTTTCTAAGACAAGTATGAGAAACGGAGAGACTTGGGTTTCACAGAGGATTCTAAAGATAATTTAAATTCTAGTTCAATCTGGCTGCTGTGGTGACTGTAATGATTTTGGATATACTTGATTATTGTCCTTTCTACTTGGCAGGGAAATAAATCATTTTATGAGACTAGATTGCATTTAACACCTCCACAATAAAAAGGAGGAGATTCACATTAAACGTTGATTTACTTCTGACTAGAGCTTTAGCAATTCTGACCAAGTTACTGAATTTGACAGCAGAAGAAATATAAGCATCCAACAGTGGATTGTTCCAAGTGAAAACAACTATGCCACTTCCAGAAACATTTGGCAAGCAATTTGTGTGGGGAGAAAAAACGTACTATAGGCAAAAATGAATAAATGACAACCCAGCCATCAATGGATGCCCTGTGGAGTAACCAGAACTAACAGAGAGACTTCCTGCTGTGACTTCAGAGTCATAATTCCTTCCTGTGACTGCATGCAAATAAAGGAAGAGTTGGCTTGATGTGACTATATCAAGCAATTTACGAGTCAGCATAAATAAATAAAAATGACAAGGAAACTAAGTAATTGCTTCTATTTACTATTGACTGTTTACTCTTAAAGTTATATAAAAATAATAAATAATGAAATCTGAACAGTATCAGGGCATACCTATTGGCTGGATTTAAATTTCAAAACATAATCAGCATTCTACATGAAGATTTTTTGAAGATTAGTTATCTGTATAGATATTAATAGTATAGACATTATGCTATTAAGGAGGATAGCAATCTCCCTCTTGTCAGAAGATAGAGATAAATTATTTCTGATTTAAATCTCAGGTACTAAAATATTTGCAACTTTCGAATATTACCAAGATTTTGTAGGCTTCACTAGGGCAGTGATATCTCTGCAGTATAGAGGCCAGAAGAGAAAATATTCAGTCTTTGATTTCAAATATTTAACAATTTGCTTTCCTCAAATACAGACATGCTAAAATCCCTTCCTTCTGAAATACCTAAAGCAAACTTTGCAGTCTTTCTAAATCAAATGTTAAAAATCAGCTCATTGTGACATGAAATGGAGTAAATCTTACAAACCATTGTGTCTTACATTAGTTGTTATCCTGTACTTATGTCAGAAAATGTCATGACAGTCTTCTGAAACATTACTAGCACTGTACCTGCTATTTCTGTACATTTTAATTTACTTTATTCTCAGTTAAATGTCCTATGTCCTTATTCTTTAGCAAGTGGATCTTAGAGGGGAGTGATAGCACCAAATACACCTGGCCCCAACTCATGTGCGCCAATAGGTAGTCCAGCCTTTACTTTGCTGACTCAACAACAGCAAAGCAGTTCTCAGTTATTGTAGAAACCAGCAAAGTTTTTAAAAAATCAAATAAAATTAAACAAAGACATAATGTCACCGTGGACAAAGTAAAATTAGTTTGACCCTCTGATTTACTAGACATTTCTGGAAAAAGAAGTGGGGACAGATTCCAGGAGCAAAGTAAGCGGACAAAAATGTTCAACACACAGCAACTTGACACCTCAAGAGAGCATAATGTGACAAGGCAGAATAAATCTCCACGCTCCAACCACAGGCAGGAAAGACTATACCTCCTTGATAAGAATTCGTAATTGCTATAACAAAGAGCTCCAGGAAACAAAAGAGAACTCAGAAAGGTAAGTCAAAGTGCTATGAGAAAATCTAATCAAAGTGATAAAACAAATTTCAGAAGCAATGAATGAGCTCAGAAGCAAAATTATGAACACGAAACAAAAATTAAAACATAATCAACATC